AACGCGTCAGGCCCGCCGCGTCAGGCGCGTCAGACAAAAGAAAAGAAAACTAAAAACAATAAACAAAAATCACCGCAACTCGGAAACCCCCACTCGATGGCCACTACAGGCTACTTTAAAGGATTCGAACGCCCGACCTCTTTTCCCAAAAGTAACGATAAAAGAAAGCAAAACTCAAAAAACAAAACGAAACGCTCGCCCGAAACAAAACAAACACGTCAGGCCAACCGCGTCAGGCGCGTCAGAATTTTACAGCGGACGTCTCACTGAAAACAATCGCGCGTCAGAATTTTACAGCGGACGTCTCATGCTAAGCGATGCAAAAACACTAACGTGGACCATCGCAGAAGCGAGAGTCGCCCCGCGGCCTACTAAGTTTTAGTAGGGTTATTAGATATTAGATGGGTTGAGCCTATCCCCTCAGGGGGGTTGAACCTAACTAACCCTTGGCAACAACCGAGAGGAAGGGACTACGCCCCTCGACCGACCAGGGGGGGCAAGGTGACCATCTCAGCTGGTGACACATTTACCCGCATTTGTACTCGAGCAGACGCTTCGCGTCTGATCTATCGCCAGAGTGGAGACAAAGGCGCAACGGGAAGCAGAGGCCTCTCTTTATTTGACATTTAAGGCCAAAGGATGATTGCTTTGTCTTTTAAAGTTTAAACCGAGGGGGACCAAGAGAATGTGAAGCAATGGGCCTCGCTCCACTACTCAACCTTCTACCTGCATTTGGACTTTTTATGGACCAGGTGCATTCCAAAGAGCCCAGTATTTTGAATGCAACTGGACGATTATGAGCTCCCAATACGTCTAGACCCTAAGAGAGTGTTGAGTAAGTCAAGCGAGGGCGAACGTGTTGCAATTGTATTTCAACAGTGTTCAAGCTCAGTCCTGATTGACCACCGAATTGTCAGTCTGAATAATTAGGCCAAAAGCTGGGCTCTTTGGAATGCACCTGGTCCAGAAAACGTCCAAATGCAGGTAGAAGTTTGAGCAACGGTAGCCGTTCTTCACACTTGCTTTCTTTTCTTCTTCTTTTTTTTTTTTCACAATTGCTCTTCTTTCTCTTCTTCCTAGAGATTTCTATGAACGGTGGAATGAACAGGCGTGGAACGCATTCCCTACCGTCTTCACCCGAATAGAACGCCGGTCATTATCACTGTAGTGTGTAGACTGAAAATTGCACCGAATACGGCTATAATGACCGGGCGTTCTATTCGTGTGAAGACGGTACTGTTTGACTTGCCTCTAGAGTTTCACTGGTCTCGATCTCATCCGTTGTGACGTTTGACAGTAGCTCGTTAGCGATGGCACTCAGCCGGCCTTCATCATGTCCTTGTTGTAGCCAGAAGATCCCAGCTCCCCGCTTTCCATGTTTCAAACAATGCACGCCCACTGACTGCAAGCGGAACAACAAAACCGGAATACAAAAACAGAGCAACAAACATGGCATCATTGAGCGCAAGCATGTCCGCTCGCATGAGACTAAAAGAAACACAACGGGTACATACAACGTCCGCGTATGTGAGTGTTGTATATTTTCAAATTTTCACCACAACAGACCCCGTTCCTCCCAGATCAGTAAAGACTTACCTTTTGCAGACGATGAAACCCACTTGAGCTGAGCCGATCCAACACTGAAACGTTTTTTCCAATTTGTTTCAAGCACCACGGAGCAGAATATACGTGTGCACGTATGTGTCCCTGACGTCCGCAAGAGAAACAAGAAGCAACCCTTGTATTGGCACGAAAACACACAAACACACACACACACACACACACACGCACACACACACACACACACACACACACATACACACGCACACACACACTGCCGTTCTTGTCAAGGGTTTGGAGCGGCAGTCTGCTAGGATTGCAAGGTTGGTTGGTGTGAGTAAAGTCGACCACTTTTCTCTCTCGAGGGTGGGTATCGCTAACTCTGGGCGATGTGGTGAGTCCTTATCCATCAGTCCAATGCATCTGGCATACAGTCTGTCCAGGTTCAACCTCCTGATGAGTCGGTGAAAGTCCGACAAAACAGTCCGGCACAGTCATGCTTGTTTTGAGTGTATAGCGAATAACACACACACACACACACACACACATCAACAAAGCAGGACAAGCCTCACATGTCCCCATTCGATATACTGCTCCTTTGGGAGTTCTACTCCCAGGCTCTATCTCAATGCGATGCTGGATCGGCTGCTGTACTACTCCTGTAGGCGGCTCAGACAGATCTGCATACTCCTCCAGTAGCTTGGCAATACGAGGGTCTATGGTCTCTTCGGACTTAGGCTTAGTGACTGGCCTAACATCGACAACGAAAACCTGTTCTTCCAACTGCTCCTTCTTTACTAATCTTGCAAATGCAGGAGCGCTGAGGCAGCAATGTGCAAAGGGGTCGTCTACCCATGACACAAATAACAGGCGAGCAGTCTTAACTCCACCTGACGGGCTAGGGAGCCTACACTCGTGCTTTCTTAAGTGGAGTGTGGCCCCTGCTGCCTCTCCCCAGTCCATTCCTAGGACTATATCAAACGGGAGGTTGTCCTCTACGAGGAGAGTCAGGGAATGAAGAACTCTCTCTACCTTCCCACCTTTCTCTAAGCGGAAATAAGCCTGAACTCCCTCGACATAATCCTCGACTCGCACCGTTCGATTGTCTGCGAGGATGCTGACCATAGGTTCCTCTGGCTTTCGGACCTTTAAGTTCAGCCTCAACTTCTGTAGTGCTTTGCGACTAATATAACTACGGGTAGCCCAACTAAGGGCCCCCACTTTGCCTCTACAAAATCTCTACATCTACCAATACTAGTTGTCCCTTTCCACTCTTCTTCATCTTGGCCCAGGCAGGCATCCTCTCCTTCAACTCTTCTACCACGCCTGTGAGGGAAGTGCCAAAGAGACCCTAACGCAAGCAGTCTCTGGACAGCTATCTAGGCACTGGCCAGCAACCACTGCCATAAACACATGTGGGTTGGGAGTTTCTCTATGGTGCGTGCACTCTTCTCCACACGGTCTAGGGGTAAGGGCAGTTGCGACCCCTACCGGCGGTTGCCTTTTGCTGCCTGTGCAGTAAACCGGGCCTCTCTGTACTTGGGGCAGTATTTAATAATATGGCCTGGATCACTGCAATAAATGCACTGATCCTGGTCTATCCTCCTCTGCCAAACTTTCTGATCGAGGCCCAGATCTTCCCAAGGCCTGCCCTGTGGCAAGCCAGGGTGCCATCCACCCCTCCTGTAAGGTGACCGATTGGAATGCGGACGGTTTTGCGGGGGACCTTAACCCTTGCCTCCCTCTTGGCGGTTTGCCCTGCCGCCAACCCCCTGATCATCCTGTCCTCGACCACCTGAGGCCCGGCCCCCTTGGCCCCGGCCTCCTCTTCCTTGCGGCCTCCCTCCCGCCGCGACAGGAGCATAGGACCTCCCCTGACCTACACCCCTGTCTTCCTCCTCAAGGCCCCACTCAATCTCACTATACGGGACCTCCTCCATTCCTCCTTCATCCAATGTCATAATCAAGTTGTCTTTCCCCTTAACCTGCCCTGAAATAGTCCGGCCCTTCCCCTTCTTACCCTTGTCAAAATCTTTGTGCCAAAAGGCAGTGACCGTCGTGGATTGGGCCTCGTAAGCTACGACATCGCGGCTCGACCTATCATACATCATCCCTTGTTCTCGCGACTTGTCATAGAAGTGCCCGTGCAAACTCTCGGGCATCGCACGCTAGAATAATTGAACCAACTGTGCTCAGTGACCCCATGGTTTGGAACCGCGACAAGCTCATCCATGGCTCCCTTGAGTGCCCTTGCACTCTTCCACTGACGTGTGTGGATTGTCTGGAGATTGTCTGAGGCTTTGATTCCCTTAGTTACATACGCAAAACGTTTGCAAGTAACTTTAGGAAATCATTGAGGGGAGTGATGGTGGAATACGCCACCATGTCATTGTCACATTTGGCGGCGCGGCCCTAGACCTAGCGAAGCTAGATGCTTCGTCTCTAAGGGCGTGGAATGCGACGAGAACCTGCTCCTCAGGGATGATATTCTGAAGGTGCACGTAGGAATTGATATTTGCTTCCCAATTATCAAAATCTTCCCCCTGTTTCCCGCAGTAGGCATCAGGAAACTTTACTTTTACTTGTTCCCTACGCGGGCGTACCTCCTCCTCCTCTGGGGCTGCAAGCTTGGCGCCCTCTATGGCACCAACACAGAATTGTTATGTGTTCTTCATATGGGCCTGCATCTCAGAGCCCGTCCGCATCATCATATCATGGCCGAAGTCTCTAAAGCCTACTCGAATGGACTGTAGGGCTATGTCATGGCCCCTTGAGAAATGCATTTGTTCCTGTTGGACGCGAATGAGCACATCTACGCTCTTTGCAATGACATCCACCTTGCTCTGCAAGTCCACTTGTGTCAGGGCATTAGTATGTTGTTCTTTTGCGGCAGCCAACTCTTTCTCTAACTCAATGGCCGCCTCTATGCGCCTGTTTCTCTGCCTCCTCAGTCACGATTTCCACTCCATTCTTTTCTCCTCTTCCAAGGCCTGCTGCTCTAACGGGTCAGTCTGGGCCTTTATCTCTGCCACAACAGCATCCCTCTCGTCCTGGGGGATGTACATCAACGCTTCTTCATCTTCCCCCAGGGATAGGTTAGCCACCCACTCCGACACCATCTTCTCCAGTTTCTTCTCGTTTTCACTAGCCCCACTAGATTCCCCTCTTTCCTCTCTCCTCATAGTCCTTACCAAAGGTATCTCGTCTTCTTTTTCTTCGTCGTCTACTTCTTTAGGTTTCTCCTCCTCTTCTCTCTTTAACCTCTCCATCTCTTCTTCAAGCTTCTTCTTCTTCTTCGCCGCCTGCGCTTCCAACAAGGCCTGCTTCTTGGCCTCCTTCTCCTTCCTTTCTTTCAATATGGCGGCAACGCTCTCCTCCTGCTCTTTCGTATATGGGGTGGTGCTCGTACCACTACGCGTGTCCACCATGGTGATAGATGTACAACCCGGTGATAGTTCCACTCCTCACCACTTAGACTTCCACCCCCTGACTAACTTAACTGACTGACTGACTCTCTAAGGACCACAAAGCCTTACCCTTCGATCCAGGCAAGTTACCACGGTCGGCGGAAGCTTTCGCCACCACTGTCCTTTACAAACCAGACCCATATGCCCTGCACCTGCGGTCAATCCCACTTGGCTTTCTCTGTGGTTCAGGACCCTGTCAACTAGGGTCTCTAGCCTAGACCTATTACTAAGCTGTCACTACAGGACTTCAACGCTGATCAGGAGGCATTTAAGGCGATCCCCCATAACTCCTCAGGAAGTCCTCTCAAGACGCGATCATCAAACAGGACGACGCGATCAGCAAGTCCTCTCAAGACATAGACAGCTGGTTGTGCAGCCCACACCTCAAATTTTGGGCCTACCATGCCACACTGAGCAGCCCGCCGGTCCGTACCGGTCCTTGGGAGGGTTTGTCCTCCGGGTCAGTTAGTCGTCAGACATGGCCTTTAGCCCTGCTCAGCTCGTGTGGGTTTGGTCAACGCAGCTCTATGACCTCATACACAGAGTTCCTATCAACTGGACAGAAGAGACTCAATGCAGAAAGAAGAGACAGACCGACTCAACCAGTACCATGGGGTATGTGCACATCCATAGGGCGAGGGGATAGGCTGAAGGCTTGGCGAGAGTATACCAACTCCAGCTTGGTCAAACTTCGTGGTCGACAACTCCGGTCAACACCCTGGTCAACACCTCAGTCAGCTCTAGTCAACATCGGTCAACTCCTTGGTCAACACTGGTGAACACTTCGATCAAGTCCTTGGTCAATGTCAGTCAACACTTCGGTCAACTCCTTGGTCAACCCCAGCATGCACCCCGGTCAACGCTGGAAAACCACCTGGTGAATGTTCACAATCAGCTGGTCAATGTCGGTGAGTAACTCGGTCAGCATTGGCTATGGCTGCCAACCCTCTCTCTTCCACTTCCCTACTTCTTCCTTCTTCTTCCTCCTCCTTCACCCTCGGCTATGGCTTCTTTCTCATCCCTCGTCTCTATCTTCTTCACCCCCAGGTATAGTTTCTCTTTCTCCCTTCTTTGTTTCTCCTTCCTCCTCCACCTTGGCTATGTCTTACTTCCCTCTCCTCTTTGACGTTATCTTCCTCCTCTGTGTCTTCTTTCTCGATGTCCGAGCTCGGCAGATATGGCCGTCACTTCCTTCCTTGGACCGCACAACAATCTTCTCTCTCTCTCTCTCTCTCTCTCTCTCTCTCTCTCTCTCTCTCTCTCTCTCTCTCTCGTCGTTGTTTTCCTTCTTTGCAGGTACGCGGCACCTTTCTTCGTCGGCACAGCTATGGCGGACCCTCCTTCGACGACGCACTTCTGCTATGGCGCGTGGAATAGTGGGAACCAGCTCCGATACCAATGCAATCAGACTCACTCCACACACATGCAAACAGGTGGCAAATCACGCTGGCGCTGTGCGCCCACACAAAGCTTAGAGATACTCAAGTCGAGAACACAGTTTAGTTACAAACTCGCTTCCAACTGGCTATGGCACCTGGGCGCCCACACATCCTTTGTCTGACTCTGTGTCCACACACTGTTCACACACACTTGTCTCTGGATCACCCTGGATATCCCACGCACACAACTCTGCACGAAGCACAAACACACACACTGAACTCTTCTCTCTAAACTGCAGCGGCTATGGCTGCTCTACTGCTACTGGCTATGGACGAACTATCCCGCTCTTCAGCCCACTTCAACCTCGGGCTTCTGCAGACCACCTCGCACAAGACGCCTCGGCAGCACTTCCACATGGCTCACGCAGGAATGCATCAATGGCTGGACGCTGCCTCTTGATTTAGACTTCTGTAAGTCGCCGGTCTGCCCTTTCCACCGGGCCCATCGTGCACACAGTCCCACATGATACTTGCTGACTGGACGAACTGAGACTGGGACTGGGTACCGCTGACTAAGCGGGGTTGGACTCACCACTTGCCCACTCGCCTCTGGCCTGCTGTGAGAAACGTGAGAAGAAAACTTGAAAGGCCACTTCCAGACCTTCTGGAAGTCTGTGGACTTGGCCTTTCGGGACTGTAGCAGCTACGACCTTGACCTTTCAGAATTACTACAGCTACAGTCACTTTACAACTATGACCCCTACTCGACAGACCTACAGATCGAACCCCTACAGCTACACAGTCCTACAACAGACAACAGTCAACTACCAAAACGGAGGTCGCGGGCTCAAACACACAGGGGTCTACTCGATACCGTACACGGGTGTAGGTAAGGTCTAGGGATCAAACCCTGGGATCTGCATCTGCTTCTGCAAAGGTGAAAACCGTTTCAGAAGGAACACAGATGATGTTCGTCTCTCTCTCTCTCTCTCTCTCTCTCTCTCTCTCTCTCTCTCTCACACACACACACACACACACACACACACACACACNTCTCTCTCTCTCTCTCTCTCTCTCTCTCTCTCTCTCTCTCTCACACACACACACACACACACACACACACACACACGCACACACACACGCACACATACACACACACACACACACACACACTCAACCTCCTGATGAGTCGGTGTGTGTCATGCTTTTTTTGAGTGCACAGTGTGCGCTGTATAGCGGATATGACAACACACATACACATAGACACACACACAAAACACAGACAAAACACACGCACACATGCACACAACTCACACACACATAGATCATTGAGGATGCTCACAAACCAGCCATTGCAATGATCCGACGCGATTGGACTCCAGAATCGCAATCACGCAAATCCCAAAAATTCATGCCACATTTGAACAGCTACCGGGCCTACCATACTTCTAACAAACTAAGACGCGAATGGGCGTTTTGGAAAGTGGACCTGCCGGTCCGGCTGTCGTACATGAGACCGGGACAATCGGGAACCTGGGATCAGGACACGGGACTTTACCGAGATGTGAAATCCTTTCACCGTCATGAGATCGACAAGAACAACAAAAAAAAAACAACATATAAGGATAACCCCCTACCGGACTTCTAACAAACTGGAATATGCGTCGGCGTTTCGACTGCTGGGCCTGCTGGTTTGGCTATTGCACTGGGACTGGGACCATTGGGACTCTCGAAACAGGACACGGGACTTCACTGAGACGTGAGATCCTTTCACCTCCACCAGATAGATAAGAACGAATTTCAACAATAAAGTAAAAGAAACAGCAAAAAAAAAAAAAAAAAAGAAGTCAGCGCACCCGTAGAATTGTCGCTGAGGTTTGTTCCAGTCCATACTGCTCAGAGATCGCCAGAGCCTGCACAACGACGTCATCATACAGATCAGGACGAAGAAAGAAAGAGAGAAGAGAGCACGTCCTAGAAAGGAAAGAACATCCTAGATAAGAAACAACATCATGGCACTGCAGACAACTTGGGATGTAGGCACGTGCAACACGAGTTAAAAACCAGACGAAACGCATAGAGAATAAACAACAATAGAAATGAAAACAAACGAAAACAGAAAAAGTTCAAAAAACTTAATAAAAAAGCATATTAAAAAGTTAAAAACCGAAAAACAGAACAAAACTAAACCCAGAGGACAACCAATGGGCCTGGCCCAGTCGGTACACTCATGAGATGTTGAGAATAGAAATCCAGACCCAAGTCCGAATCCAGATGCAAGCAGATTCTAAATTACCTAGGGCCGGTCATTTCAATAATGATATCTCAAGGTCGTTGCCCTTTCTCTAGAAAAGGGAAAAAGAGCGCAGAGAGAGAGGGGAAAACAAAACAAAAAAAGAGGACATGACCAATATAAAAAATCAATTTACGAGAAAGGCGCCTAAAGACAAGGAGCAGGAGCAGGAGCATCCACAATGCACATGTCCAGTTGCCAGTATAAGTACCCCATCATCAGTACTGTATTTGGAACTGCATCTTGACTAGATTCAGTCGAGATTCAGTAACATATTTGTGCAATTGAGCGCACAACCTTCCTTCTTCCACTCAACGTTGGTCAGCGCTGAGTCTGTCTCTTATACACATCTAGATGTGTATAAGAGACAGGAGCAGGAGCATCCACAATGCACATGTCCAGTTGCCAGTATAAGTACCCCATCATCAGTACTGTATTTGGAACTGCATCTTGACTAGATTCAGTCGAGATTCAGTAACATATTTGTGCAATTGAGCGCACAACCTTCCTTCTTCCACTCAACGTTGGTCAGCGCTGAGTTTGGAAGAAAGGTACATCATTAGCCAAGTCAATGAGGGCATACTCACACTAGGACTTTTCCCCTCAACGCTCTGGACGTAATTGCCGGTAGGTTCATGCAGGTCTGGCCGCAATTGCAGTCAGATGCATTTTCAAAAGTGCTAGCATCACGTATGCCCTGAGATGATTGAGGCGGCTATCTATGAATTGATTGCCCTCTTCTACTGGGCCTCGCAAAGCATTGCGGAAACCACAAATAATCGTCGAAATTAAATAATCTTCGAAAACACGAAATGGTTAGCGAAGGGCGAAGCTCAGTGTATAAGCGGCAAATACCTTATGCTTTCCCGATTCAATATCAAAAGCTTTTCGAATTACAGTCAATTACCTTTTTTTTAATGATTTTTTAACATCATTTTTCAAGGGTTTTTTTTTTTTTTTTTTTAACCTCAACTGGGCCACCTCTACTACAGGCAGGAATAAGAGCCAGTGCTTGTAGTAGGGTCCCCAAGAGTTGATTGCGCCGGTAGTATTCGTGGGGAGGGACACGTGCAGGGAGCCGGGGCCAGTGTCCTTTGATTGACGGTCGAGATAGTTGACACCATTGACACTCTTAAAAAAATATAAAAACTTAAACATATATTATAGATGGTAAAAAAAAAAAAAAGGTTAGTCATCCCCGTATTTGCACGGCTGAATCTGTGTAATTTGAAATCAAGCTCACGTGGATAAAATGGTAAACAAGCTTGCCAATATAACTACCCCATCATCAAGACTGTATTTAGAATTATACCTTGACTAGATTCAGTCAAAATTCAGTCACATATTTGTGCAACTGAGTCCACAACCTGCATGCTTCCCCGAGATAGCCTAGCTCAGTTGGCGGAGCTCGGAAGCGGCATTCGGGAGGTCATGGGTTCGATTCCCCACGTCTTTCATTCGATTCCTCACGGCCTCCTCCGGCGGCGTATTCGCCAGCAGAGATAGTCGGCTTGCCCTCTCTGGTTAGCGTTGGTAGGTAGGCGCTATTCCTTCGTCCCGTCCATCCCACAACTGGGGTTAGGCTCAACCTCAGGGGAATAAACGGGAATAAACGGGAGCTTAACGGCGCAGGGTTCTATTCAGACAGTCTATTGCTTCCCCTGGTTGACTTCCCCTGGCTGATATAGGACGTAGGTAGGTAGGTAGGGAGGTAGGGAGGTAGGGAGGTAGGGAGGTAGGTAGTGAGAGGTATAATGGAGAGAACTCAGAGAGAGAATACAGCTTAGTTAAAAAAGAAAAAAAAAGAAAAAGCAACAAGACCCCATCATCAGGACTTTATTTGGACTGACGGAGCGATATCATTGGGGGAAGAAGGTAGGAATCAACTTCAAGGGGTGTCCTTGCTGGTTAGCCTTGGTAGGTAGGCGCTATTCCTACCCTCTTCCCCCCCAATGATATCGCTCCGTCAGTCCAGATACAGGACTGTATTTGGACTGACGGAGTGACTCCCTTCGACTGATTATAAATTTGTCTCAGATTCAAGAGGTGGCTCAAGTCACACATTGCAATCGCATAAACAAGTGATTGTTGGTGTTGGCCCTTCGGGACATCCGTTAAAATTGGAACAATACAGAAGATTAGCATGGCCCAGGTGGAAGGATGACAGAATTGAAAAAAAAAAAAAAAAAAAAAAAAAAAAAGCAAGACGTTCGTCTCTCTGGCATGTACAAAAGTCCAGCCCTATCGTTGAATTTGGTGATGTCTAACCAAAGGGTCTACGGGGTATAAGGGGGGTTCAAAAGGGGCTTAAGAAAAGGGGCCTAAAGGGGGCTAATGTAACTTAATGTTCTGTTCTTGTTTTTCACTTCAAATTCCATAACGGAAGTCGGAGTGACCCTCAGCCAAAAGTTGGTTGATTTTGCAATTCTGCATGCCATGTTTTTTTCTTTGAGATCTTTTTTTCTCTTTTTTTGTGCTGGGGCTGTCCAGGACATTGACCGGGGCTTGCCCGGACCGGGGCCCGCTGGGATACCTGGGCCAGTCTGACGCAACCCGGGTGGCCTGGCTGGTAGTCCAGGAAATAAACTTTTTTTTTTTCGCTTTTTTATTTAACTCGTCATTAACTTACCTTAAGCGCCTCGCGAGTGTGAGATGTGACAGGTTGACGCATGAGGAGAGCCTCTAGTGTCGCGCATCCGTATTTTGGACACCCGGCTAGGTAAAGCGCTGAAAGCTGTGGATAGACAAACGAAGAGGCAAGGGAAAGAAACATGAAGACAAGAGAAGACGACAGAAAACAGCCGGCACAAAAAAAAAGACAATAGTCAGCATGGAAAATCACATAAAAATTTATTAAAATTTGATCAAATTCATTGCAGAATTGCAAATACGTCACAAGTCACGACTACCTTCTTCCACCGAATACAACGTACGGTCATCATAGCTGTATTTTGGGGTATCTTTCAGTCTAAATACAGCTATAATGACCGTACGTTGTATTCCGGGGAACAAGGTAGCAAACCTGGAGTCGCAGCCATAATATAATAATAATACCCAACAAAAATTAGTGCAAATCATATAATAAATTCATTGCAAAAATTAGTGAAACAAAAAAAAAAAACTGCCTGTCTGAAAGGACAACACTCATTCCTGCATGATGATCGGCCTGTCTACCCACCGGTACAAGCTTTCGGGTTCAGATTAAGGCACTTAGAAGTTAGAACATAGAATTGCACTGCATGGAAAAAAAAGAGAAAAAAGAAAAGAAAGCACTATGAAGTAGTAAGAAGTTAGAAGATTGCAATCTTACTCGTTCTCAAACACACTTTTCATGCATGTAAACAGCAACGCAGCATACTGGCGACATGCGCCCACTCAAAACTCTTTCAGACACGAGTTCACTCTCAAATGGCTATGGCGACTTCAGCGCCCAAACATCTCACTGTTCACATACACTGGATCACCCTGGATATCCCACACGCATCACTCTAACACTCAAGCACACACACACACTCACTACTAACTACAGCTCTGGCAGCTATGGCTGACTCTAACCTATCGCTATGCTAACTCCTCCTCTCTCGCCCACTGCGTCCTCCGGGCTCATCTGCAGACCTCCTTGCACAAGTCGCTGTG